AGTAGTAGTAGTAGTAGTAGTAGTAGTAGTAGTAGTAGTAGTAGTAGTAGTAGTAGTAGTAGTAGTAGTAGTAGTAGTAGTAGTAGTAGTAGTAGTAGTAGTTACCAATTTGGTTATTTTCGCAATAAGTAATGCACCTACCACAACTACCACAAGACTACACCACCCTTGGTTAACCGGTAGAGAATGCCTCAGGCATCAAATTGTACCTTTGTGCATGAAGTTGAATAAATAAATATATAATAGTACTAGTAGTAGTAGTAGTAAATAGTAAGTAGTAATCCGCAAATATATATTAATGTGCAAGAAGCATAATATATAAAAAAATAACAAAAATTGCTGTTGTTATAACTAGTATTCGATCATCAATGATTCTAGACACGAATCCAGTCTGCGGTAACAATGAAGAGTTCTTATCATGCGGTACAGCCTGCCCGCTGACCTGCAAGCAACCCGAAGCCCTGGTCTGTGGGCTAGCGTGCAGCATGGGCTGCTTCTGCAAATCAGGATACGTGAGGGATGAATCGTCAAATAACTGCGTCACTCTGGACAAATGTCCTGTGGGTTAGTAACTGTACAGTTTTTTTTAATTCTCATGGAACTAACAAATTTATTAGTTTATTTATTTATTTATTGATTTATTGCTTAGGTGGGTGGACGAGCTCACAGCCCACCTGGTGTTAAGTGGTTACTGGAGCCCAGAATAGTTACAACGGCTGCCCCACCCTTCAAACCCAATCGCATTACTACTTCACGTCAGAAATAGTCAGGGTAGTGGTACCTACCCGTGCGGACTCACAAGACGTCCTACCACCAGTAAAGTTAGCAGGGGATTTTGAGTTCGTGCCTCGAGCTAAAAGGTTAGGTTCGAAGATGGATTCGCGTTGAAGTTTGACGTTACCTGACATTTGACATCAACAATCGTGGCCATAAATCAAGCCTTTCTATTTCAGAGCAATGTTTAAACGAGAATGAAGTCTATGACATTTGTAACGCATCCTGCGAGCCGACTTGTGCTGATCCCGAACCGATCTGTACCAAAATCTGCGCCGGAGGCTGTATCTGTGCCGACGGACTCCTCAGAAACGACGCCGGCGATTGCGTCAGCATCGACAAGTGTCCCGGAGGAAACTCAACCGATCCGGGCTTCCTGAATAAATATTTGGAAGTTATTAACAAAATTTTGCACGTATGAGCAGTTTCTTGTGAATGTGGATTCTCAGGCGGACGGCGCGGCTGGTGTTAGGTAGTTTACGTCAAAAATTGATTGCACTTGCGTGTGCTTGTGAAGGGACGCTCCATAGGAATTCGATTGTAAGAGGCCGCCATTGTCCATGGAACTTCATCGCTCGACAAGATCTAAGGGAGAGTGTTGGAGTTTGTATATAAATGTAATGGCAGGCAACACTTGACACTTGATTAGATTTCGAATATTAGAATTATTTTAAATGTTTAAAAAACAGATGATTGTATTCTCGTAAGAAAGTCACAGGACTTCTCATCTAGACACGGCAAGACAAACATGTAATAGTTTTATAAAAAATATAAAGATAATAATTGTATAATGGTGTAAAAGTGTTCAAGCTATCTGCAATATAATTATAATGAAGCAGTGTGTTTTTAAAAAGCCCCTCATCAACCTAAAGAACCCAATCCCCACAAATTTAACCGTCCAACAGAGAGTACAATTTCTGTTCAGACTTAAAGCTTTACGGTTCAAGATAAGTAGCAGCTTTTACGTTTTGGTACCTATAGACTTTACCTTTAGATTGCAATCCAGATTAGATCTAGGTACTACTTGTACGATTTAGCTAATATGTACTGTAATTATTGTAATTTGTTTTGTGGATCAATAAATATAAATAAAAAGAACTATAGTTACAGCTAAACTCCAAACATCAAGTCAGTTGTGAACTCGTCCACCCAAAACAATCCTTGCCGCGTACCTTTTAAAGCATTTTGAAAAACTATAAACATTTGTAGAAAAAATATTCAGGTAAAAAAAATGTGGAAAATTTTTGGCATGCTTAATGCGTTCGTAAACTGCTTATCCAACTGTCAAGAATCACTTTTAATTATTATTCTCATAATCCTCTCGCAGGTCTGCTGGAAGAGATTTTTTAAAGAAATAAGCAGCGCCTTTGTACATAATTTTCCTATTACTCTGTACTATGTCTTCTTTTCTGTGTGTACATAAATAAATAAGAAGCTTGGTATAGTTGATGGTGCTTCAGGAAACATTTCTGCCATAGTACCACGTGGCGTGAGTGGAACTTCCATAACGGTGTGCTAGTGTGAGTTTTTTAACGTTCTCGATAGCGTAAAAGTTAAATCAAATTTGTATGGAGTTGGAACGTTTTCCTATGTTTGCCGCTAGGGGCGCTGTTCCAACTGCATACATAGCACACAGTACTAGATGGCCGAGTATCACTTTTTTTTATTGCTTAAATGGTGTTAAATGGTTACTGGAGCCCATAGACATCTACAACGTAAATGCACCACCCACCTTAAGATATGCGTTCTAAGGTCTCAGTATAGTTACAACGGCTGTCCCACCATTCAAACCAAAACGCATTACTGCTTCACGGCAGAAATAGGCAGGGTGGTGGTGCTTACCCGTGCGGACTCACAAGAGGTCCTACTACCAATAAAATTACTCAAATTATAATTTTTCGGGTTTGATTTTTACTACACGATGTTATTTATTCCTTCACCGTGGAAGTCAATCGTGAACTTTTGTTAAGTACGTATTTCTTTAGAAAAATTTGTACCTGCCTGCGGGATTCGAACACCGTTAGTTACATCGCTAGATACAAATGCAGCGGACGTCTTATCCTTTAGGCCACGACGACTTATAAACTAGCCTTTGGTCTGTGTAAGCGTAAATATTTTGAAAGGAAATTTGAGATGACAACATTTTGTTTTAAGTTTCAATGTATTTGCGTAACATTTAGCATGCTCTCGTAATAACTTGTAAAATATGCATTATTTAAGTTATGACAAAAAATTGTAATAATTATTAAGGGTTTGTTTGAAAAAAATGGTTTGTCGCTAACGCCATCTAGTGGCTGCGTAAGGAAACAAAGAAAATGTATGAAATCAAAGTAGGTAATATAAACTTAGTTTTAATTAACATTGTATAACTATATAATAATATTATATAGTTATACAATTTATTTTAATATAACATTGAGTAAATAAGTAACAATAAACATTGAAATCGCGAGCCAGTTTTGGTTGAGTTTAATTCCGTTGTTCGTCATTGGAAGAGAAATAATATTTTTGATCTGGAACAAAAAAAAATGTATTAAAAATTCGTCATTCAAAGTGCATAACATTTTTTTCAAGTATTCCCAACGTTCTTTGAAAATAAAAAAATGTCCTGTAATAGTTGCACAATTTTTAACTTTAAATAAATCTACGCATTAGCAATATTCCCTAGCAACATTAGTTAAAAAAATACTATTTTTTATTTAATTAAGAACATAATGATGGTATTGTCATGCACTTAACCTTATTAAAGACTTTATTTAGAATAATAATAAAAATTAATTCAATGCATTTATCGCCATCTGTGATAAACTAGACTAACCAAAATTATTGAATCAAAATTGGAAGCTAGTTTATGAAAAACCTCAGAGATGGCGCTGACATAAAATTTTCAGTGGTTGATTTCTCCTAAGCCTGAATCCCATTCACTGACCTAAGCCCCACTAGACACTTGCGTCACCTTTCTATACTCCTCCTCCCTGATGCCATACGTCAAGTAGGAGTACGCCAAGAAGTCCGAATGATTCGAGACCAGCTGGAACGCCACAGACTTTGACCCACTTTGTCCTCTGATGAGGTTGAAATCCACTTCACCCAAGGCGTCTACTGTTGCTGTAACTTCTAAATATGAGATCACGAAGCCTTTCTGAAAATATTAATGAAGTTAATACAAAACTATTTTAAATAATATATCACAAGCTTCTCTTTCGCAATGTTCATAGTGTTATATACTAGATAGAGAGCATCACTACATAGTATAAAACAAAGTCGCTTTCTCTATCCCTATATCTGTCTGTCCCTATGTATGCTTAAATCTTTAAAACTACCCAAACGGATTTTGATGCGTTTTTTTTTAATAGACAGAGTGATTGAAGAGGAAGGTTTATATGTATAATATGTATAATAACATCCATTAAATAGTGGAGAAATCAATAATAAATTACAGTTTCCGAAGCGAAGCGAGGGCAGGTCGCTAGTTATAAATAAATAAGTTTAGAAGAATTAAGTTATTCCAAGATCCCTACAACACATTTCACTTTGAGATGTGAGGTCAGTGGTTCAGTTTTAAAGTACAACGCCTACTTAAAGTAGTGACGAAAAACACACGATTAGTGATATTAGATGGACTAATATTGAACTCGAGTATAAGGGAGAACGGACATTTGTCATTGCAATTGGGTTCCCCCTTCAATTCTCACTATATGAATGGACTGCCAAACTATTTTGGGCAAGGACCCCTTTTCCGAAGTGAATTGATGACTTAGATTTCCATTCGCATATCACTTTAAAAATCCTATCTAACTCTGCGCTTGGTAAGTCCATCGTACGTTTAAATTGAATATCCCCTTGGTACCGCTTGGGAATCTTTTTTTTTTGAAGTGAAACTTCTTTATCGGCGTTGGAAAAAAATTTACCGTCACATTTTTCGGTTACGCGTCACATTTTTCCGTTACGCGCCATCTTTTTGAAGTGAAACTTCCTTATCGGCGTTGGAAAAAAATTTACCGTCACATTTTTCGGTTACGCGTCACTTTTTTCCGTTACGCGCCATCTGTTTTGTATTCATGTCTATGATAATAAAATCCTTTTGTTTAAACTTTATCTAATTTAACTTTTTTGTATTCATGTCTATGATAATAAAATCCTTTTGTTTAAACTTTATCTAATTTAACTTTATTTAACCAATTTCTAGAAAGTTGCATGTAGATCATTTTTCGAAAAATAAGGCCATAAACAAGTTTCACTTCTTACGTGTGTACACTAGTACACGCACACATTTTTTATTGCTTAAATGGTTGGACGAGCTCACAGCACACCTGGTATTAAGTGGTTACTGGAGCCCATAGACATCTACGACGTAAATGCGCTACCCACCTTGAGATATAAGTTCTAAGGTCTCAGTATGATTATAACGGCTGCCCCACCCTTCAAGTCGAAGCGCATTACTGCTTCACGGCAGAAATAGGCGGGGTGGTGGTACCTACCCGTGCGGACTCACAAGAGGTCCTACCACCAGTAAATCTTTGAAGAAGTGAATCTTTGAAGAAGCTGACCTAAAATCTAGGTGAGTTAATATGACCACAAAATTCTTACCTTGACTGTCGCGTTGACTGTGACGAAGAAAGGATCATAGTTGTTCCTGTGTCTGAACCTGTCAGATCCACCCGTCATCGGTAGCGAATCTGTAATTAGTTAATCATTGTTTATAATTTCAAACAGTAGACGTAAAGAAACAGTATAGGTATGTCGTATCACTCTTGTCAGAGCGGTCGTGGTCGTTTTTTTTTATTGCTTAGATAGGTGGACGAGCTCACAGTCCACCTGGTGTTGAGTGGTTACTGAAGCCCATAGACTTCCACAATGCGCCACACACCTTGAGATATAAGTTCTAAGGTCTCAAGTATAGTTAGTTACAACGGCTGCCCCACCCTTCAAACCGAAACGCATTACTGCTTCACGGCAGAAATAGGCAGGTGGTACCCATACGCGCGGACTCACAAGAGGTCCTGCCATCAGTAAAAAATCATCGTCGTCGTCCAGTATCATTGGTGTGGGCAGATGTTATGCGCCTCACGAGCAATCACCACTCCTCCCGGTTTGTGGTGAGCCTGGTACACTCATGCAAACAGCCACCAACTGCCGACTTGATCTGATCGGTCCATCGCATGGGCAACCTTCCACGCGGTCTGGTGCCTTCTACTTTGCCCTGAATAGTAGATGTAGTTATTACTTGTCTACCTATTCGCTGGTAGCTTAAGAGCCTATTCTAGCTACGTGCGGACAGGTGGGTGAGCTCACGGGTTCAGCTTGAGAGAATTTGCTAACACTAGCCCTAGCAAGAGCAGTGCTTCGCAGAATCTACCATCGGATCGGAATCGCGACCCACTGAGAAGACTCGGCGAGAAACTCAGTGGGCTTAAGTTATCGTGTATGTAACGAAGATACAACAGCCGATTCACCCTTCGACAATACTCACTACTTTTTAGCCAGTGGATATGATAGTATCATATTAACACTATACGCTCGTTTAAGCGAATTAATTTGATTATTTAAAATTTTAACGAAATAAAAGATTAGGACAATAATGCCACATCGCCTTGATTTTAATAGTCGTTGATTCCGCCGAGCTATTCCCATCGAATTACTTCTAAAAGTGTAGACGAGATTGTAACTTTTGATTGACTGTGAAAATTTTCTTTTTTCCTTTTTGTAACTAATCATAGGATTGCTCCGAGCTTTCTAAGCTTGTGCTTCGAGAATAATTTAATATGTATTAATAAGTTTCTATATTACAACATTACAGGCAGTAATCCTGTCGCAATTAACTTGCAAAGATCACTTTATGTTTTAAGAGGCTGATAGTTTTTTTTATTTATTTCATTGCATATATGGGTGGACAAGCTCACGGCCCACCTAGTGTTAAGTGGTTAATGGAGCTCCTAGACCTCAACGACGTAAATGCCGCCCATCCACCTTCAGACATGAGCTGTAAAGCCTTAGCCTTAGCCTATATTTATATAGCCTATTTTTATAGGCCAACGGCTGCTTCACCCTTCGAGCCGATACGTATTACTGCTCTACGGCTGAAATAGGCAGGGTAATGGTACTTACCCGTACTGGCTCACAAGACGTCCTACCACCAGTAAAATTTTCATAATTATCAAGCATCAAAATAAAACTGTTTTTAAGTTAACTGTAGGTATAGACACGACTTTAACACTGATTCAAAAGACAGTTTTCACTGTGAGAACGATCGACAGGAAACCCTGGATTCACATATTGACATTGCGAGGTACTGGTGTGTATCGGTGTCAATAATCAACTGACACCAGATGAGCTTGGAGTTACCAACACATACCAGACTCCGAATACTAATCACGCTTAGCAAAGGAAGTAACTGAATTGGAATCGAATCCGTCCTAAGGCCAGCAAAGAATTTGCGGGCTTGAGAAACGGAACTTGGTTTACAGTTCTGGGTTGAGGTCGTGTATCAAGATGGGCGGCAGACACGTAACACCAGGTCGGATTTGGGTCTTGAACAAAATAGAAAACTACTCACTGTCATACTCTATTCCGATCTTGAACTTCTTCGTCTCGAACAGCTGGGGGAAGCTGACCACCCCGACGATCACCGTCCCCAGCAGAAAACAGCTCGCGTACATTATACGTGCGTATATCTGACTACTTCGGTAGGAAGCTGCGTAGCGAATGCGTCTTATCTCAACAGTTTTCACGTTCGATAACTTCAACCCGAGATTGTGATTGAGTCATTGGTACTTACTGCTTTTGATAAATTTAATTGTGGTTACTTTTGATATTTGTGAAGAAAAAAAAACACTTTTTTTATTGCTTAGATCAGTGGACGAGCTCACAGTCCACCTGGTGTTAAGTGGTTACTGGAGCCCATAGACATATACAACGTAAATGCACCACCCACCTTGAGATATAAGTTTTAAGTTCTCAAGTATAATTACAACGGCTGCCCCACCCTTCAAACTGGAAATAGAGAGGGTACAGACCCGCGCGGACTCACAAGAGGTCCTACCACCAGTTAGTAGTATAATTCTTAGTATATAACACACTAGTATAATTCTTCGCTGTTTATAGCTATATGAAAAATATTTGTAAAGTATGAAAAATATCGATTTCTTGAAACTACTGGCACTCCTACCTATTATTGATGTTACTATTTGGGAAATGTTTCTTGAGGTGCAAACTGCCATTGTACCAAGCATCGTGATCTGATGAAAGACTTAGAAACGCGTTGTGGATAAACAATCAACATAGGAACATTGATTTTTATTGATATAGAAATATCTGTAGGCTATATTCTCACTGTCGTCGAAAACAAAGATAGGTATTTTGTTATTTCTGAAATAAATACATTTAGAAAAACACATTTGGCATGTTTTAATTTGCTCTAATTCTTGTGTCATGATTAATTATATACGCTAATATTGTTCTTTTTCGGTTAATTAGAGAAATGTTAGAAGTTATTGAACCAAAATAAAGACACCGCGCTGAAGTTCATATCACCACGGTGCCACAAAGCAAGTCTCATCATCACAAGTTTCTTGACTTCTAGATGGTGCCGTGAGCGTTCACGATTTTTCCTTGTTTTAAATCTGAAGCTTTCTAATGGTCTTTCACCAAACTTTACAGTCAGGGTTACCAAGTTAATGTAAGTCAATAAAGCAGAACAGAGCGATCTCTTAAACTGTGTTTTTATTAAGGAATTTTATCAATATTTCAAGATAAAATCCTCTTATCAGATGTAGCATTGAAAATGAAACGAAATGATTTCGTCATTCGTTCGATAAAACTATTATTATCTTTGCAACTGTTATTGCATGGTTCTTTTTATATATTTCGATTGTATTGTGTTGGATTTTTTTTGCTAAATCTATATAATATATAAAAGAAAGTCGTGTTAGTTACACTATTTATAACTCAAGAACGGCTGAACTGATTTGGCTGAAAATTGGCGGGGAGGTAGCTTAGGATCAGGAAAAGGACATTTTTTTTTTTTTTCCACAGTAGAAAATCGCCGGATCCCCACCCGCGCGGCAGGTGGGGTATGTGGGAGTTGAACCTCACTAAAAACTCCTGCCGCTCACGACCGGCGCCCTACCTCGGACCGGGCCGGAGCCCAGTCGGGGCTATTGAAACGGCGGGACAGGGTTGACGCAGAGCATATTACATCCATCCCACCGTCCCAGGAAAAGGACATAGGATACTTTTTATCACGTTTCTGTGGGATGTGACATAAAATGTGGTATAACAAAACGCAACAGATATGGAATAACAAAACGCAACTGACAGCTAAACGTAATGTAGTTTATGGTTAATTATAGTAGAATTTTAAAGTTGACCGGTTGATGTGTTTATTTCGAGTTTCGATTAGCTTATTGTGCCGAGATAGGTAATCATTAAGAAAGCCATGCCGCGACCAACACGATCAAATCTTTTCCGACGAAACCGTTATGCAACTAGGATTTGAAACTTTGCGAGTGAAAAGACTGAAGAAGAACAAGAAAATATAATAATAATAACTAAAAGACATGGCCAATAAAGAATCATTAAAATACTTGCTTTTTTAATTAGCATTAATTATCCAAATAAAAAATTGACCTTGATCAAAAGTCTGCTCATTTATTGCCTCTAAGGCGGAACAAAGTTCGCCGGGTTCGCTAGTTTATAAATAGTTTGGAGATTCTTGGTGAAAACATGTTAATTATGAGAGGTTTTATTGTCACTTATGAACATTTTAGCGAGATTTCTCTCAATTTTAATGTACAACAATTGACAGTATAGCCAATTAAAACATTAAGTGTGAAATATGATACGCGCAAAATTTTCGCGCGCTTTTCGTGTACCACAGATTATATTTGTGTGGTAGTGAACGCTGTCTGTACCTTATGTAGGTATTTGCCTAAACACCACTGAATTAGCATTGTTATTTTAGTTGTTTATTTAAACATAGAGCTTAATTCAACGCAAACCGACTTAACGAATACATTGCGAATATTATAATTAACAAACGCACGGCGCTTACTGTCTGTAGACATTGACAAGGGTTCTATTTCGAACTAAAGCATTCTACGTACATATTATTATGATATGCAAATTAGAAGTTCAATTAGAGGTATATGTTTATTAATGTTCGTCGCCGTGGTTCAGTGGTTAATTGCCCAGATTATTGTTCAATGAGGTACAGGTTCGGTAACCGATCAGAGTCACAGCCCACCTGATGTTAAGTGTTTGGAGCTCATAAACATCTTCAACGTAAATGCGCCACCCACCTTGAGATATAAGTTCTAAGGTCTTAGTATAGTTACAGCGGCTGTCCCACTCTTCAAACCGAAATGCATTACTGCGTTACGGCAGAAATAGGTAGGGTGGTGGTACCTACCCGTGCGGACTCACAAGAGGTCCTACCACCAGTAAATACGCAAATTATAATTTAGTGGGTTTCATTTTTTATTACACGATGTTAATCCTTCACTGTGGAAGTCAATCGTGAACATTTGTTGAGTGTGTATTTCATTAGAAAAATTGGTACCCGTCTGAGATTCGAACACCGTTACATCGTTCAACACGAATGCACCGGACGTCTTATCCGTTAGGCCACGACGACTACTTAGAGGTATATGTTTATTAATTAATGTTCGTCGCTCTGGTTTAGTGGTTAATTGCCCAGATTATTGTTCAATGAGGTACAAGTTCGATAACCAACCAGAGTCATCATCCATTGTCGGGTGGATCTAGTTTTGAATCTGCGTTTTCTGGAAAACAATGAATGTTTTCCGTTAAGAATTTTTTCAATTGCTTATTTACTGTTAAATCTGATGTCGAAGTCACTTTTGTATTATATAGTGATTGTTTCGTCTTTGAAATCAGATCATATCAGCTTCGCGACAGAACTAGGCGAGATGGGAAGGAATTAGGGGAGATTTTTTAAGGCATTTTAACGAGGCTATGCCTGACCTGTATTAAGTAGGTACCGGGGTCAAAGTACATGATAACATTTTTTTTATTGCTTTGATTGGTGGACGAGTTCATGGCCCACCTAGTGTGAAGTGGTTACCGGAGCCCATAGACATCTACCACGTAAATGCCGTCACCCACCTTGAGACATGAGTTTTAGGGTCTCATTTTTAACAGTAGAACAATACTTAAACATACACCATTGTCAGTGGTAAACCAGGGTGTCAGGAGTACTTGTTATAAATTAATGTACATCTTTGGGTTTCCAAGTGTGACACTAAACACCTCAGATCCAAGTACTTGATGCTTCACGTAGCTCAAACACAAAACACTTTCTCGTATATTTTGTTTTGAAGGGTACATACAGACCCACCCTTGCCGGGTACGTATCACCCCCGAAGGGTTCTTCGGAATTTACGTTAACGGTACGTAATTTTTCATTAAAGTGACGTGAGGGTAATGTAGAGTTTTTGGGTTCGAATAAGTAGAGACACATTGGCTTAACAAATACGCGGTTTGGTTGATTTTGTCACATTCCTCAATCAGGATTGCATCGAAATGCATGGGTGGAAGAGCTCACGGCCCACCTGGTGATAAGTGGTTACCGGAGCCCATAGACATCTACAACGTAAATGCCGCCACCCACCTTGAAATAAGAGTTCTAAGGTCTCACTATAGTTAGAACGGCTGTCCCACCATTCAAACCGAAACGCATTACTGATTCACGGCGGAAATAGGCAGGGTGATGGTACCCACCCGCGCGGACTCTCAACAGTTCCTACCAACAGTAAATAGTATCACCGTGTTCCCATCGTAACGCAATCGTTGCTTCTTTGTAAAGATCGGTAGGATGGCACGCAAATAAATGAGTATTATGCCATATAAATGGCGAAGGAAACGCAGCGTGGAAAAGTTTATTTAATACACACCGAAAATACTCACAGCTCGTTTCTAACCTTCAACGTATTGACTCACGGATTGTATTTTAGAAGATCTCATTTTAAAAAAAACTAAATATTAATTGAAGCTGTTTTTTTGTTGTTGATGAATTCCATCGATGTTGCCGCGGTATTGGTTGGATGTGAAATTTTAAATGGAACTTGCAATTTAGAATAGAAATACGTAGGACATGACCTCTGCTGTTTTATAAGGGGATTTAATTGAATCGTGTGGTTAGTGCGAGTTTTTTAACGTTCTCGATCAGGTAAAAGTTAACCACGTTTGGTAAAAGCTTGCCACGTACCATCTGGCTATGGAATGAGCTCCCCTCCGCGGTGTTTCCCGAGCGCTATGAGATGTCCTTCTTCAAACGAGGCCTGAGGAGAGTATTAAGCGGTAGGCAGCGGGTTGGCTCTACCCCTGGCATTGGTGAAGTCCATGGGCGACGGTAACCACTCACTATCAGGTGGGCCGTATGCTCGACTGCCTACAAGGGCAATAAAAAAAAAAAAAGTTGGATACCCTTTCTGTATGACCAAAGGTTCATCTAGTAATTTATACCAATAACAAAAAATACACGCCGTGTATTCATGTCCTTGATATTTAAAAAAAAAAGCGAAAACATGGGCTCTTCTAGTATTCCAGGCAATAAAACAGACAACATCACGACAAAAGAAAATAAACACAGATCCGACACTAACCAAGATTTAAGAAGTATTGACTGAATAAAATGCGC